TTTTTTTTTTTTTTTAGCTCCATTTTATTTCCAGTTACTTGGCTGCATTCCCAAATGAAATTGAAAACCTCAGTAATGAAGAAAAGTTCATTATAGAAGAAGAAATGCTGGTTGAAGTCAATAGGTAAACTTTTTCCTTTGCTGATTTGTAAAGATGGCTTGCCTCTGTGTAGAATGTGGTTGGGATGCCTCCTGGCCATGGGGTACTTTAAGAGCCTTTGACGCACATCCCTAGGACTTGTACTTTGTCAAAAACAGAACATTGGTACTTCTCTCGGCTGAGTTCAGGTGTCAGCAGGTGAGGGGAATGGTCTGCCCCCAGGAGGGCAGGACGTGTTTAAGACTCAGCCGGGCTAAGCTGCTGCCAGTCAGGCCGTGCACTCTCGCCTCTGAGGCTCATGGACTGGAGGGTGCCATCTAATAATACGTCTCCTAGGAAATGATTAAATCTGCGTGTATTAGTTCTGAGTCTTGCTTTTAACTGTTTTTCATCAGCTCTCAAAGCAAAGCTCAGAAACTTTCAAAGTAACTTTGCCCACTTTGTACTGTCTGCCCCACTTCACGGGTCACCTCTTCGTGGTTCAGGCATGTCCACACCCGTCACCGAGCACGCCACCCCCTGGTGTGCAGCATAGGCTTCCCTTGCTGGTTCTTGACCAAGTGGGAATAGAAGAGAGTAGAGAGACCCACACAGAAGGGGTGGTACCAGGGGCAGCGAGTGGGGACTGCCGGGAGGACAGGGCTGGGTTTGGTGAGGGAGCCAGAGCACTGGTTCTGGGGCTAGCACTTCTGTTCATTTGCACAAGGCCCAGAGGTATGAATGTGAGAATTTGGACTCCTGTGACAGGCATGGCGCAGCCTGGAGGGGCACTGGCTCAGACTCTCCTGTGCTTGGTTTTGCTTCCATGAGGGAGGAGGGGGTGAGGGCATAGTCCTGCCTCCTGGGACAGGCCGTGAGCTCTCAGGGACCCGCAGTTTCTCTTCTTGCTGGTGATGCCGTGCATGTGCTGATGCTGTGTCCTTACACACGGCAGCACAGTGTCTTAAATGTCACCCAGGCTTCACCGGCATGGCCACCAAGGCCTCCAGGGGAGCCCTGTCAATGCAGTTAACCTGTGCCAGAGACAGGCAGTTGGCGTGTTCACACCTGTCAGAGGCTGCAGTGCTCCCTCTGGCCATGGGAGATAACCCCACTGAGTTTGCCCAGACGGTTTGCGTCCAGATGAATGGACATGAGCTAGAGTGCCCATCTAGCAGAAAGACCTCCCTGGCCCTCTGACGGGTGCCACATATTTACTCACGTGTGTTTCCTTCTTCTGTAATGACAGGTTTGCCCTTGCCTCCCATTTCTTCTGGGCACTGTGGTCCATCGTGCAGGCCAAGATTTCATCCATCGAATTCGGCTACATGGTATGTTTGGGAGGTGCTTTTGCTTTTCTGCTCCCGGGGAGAAAAGGCTACATTATTGTGAATGCCCGTGTGGACGTGGTCCCACCCAGAGAGTTACCCGTTCCCTGTAAGTGCCTGAGCCAGGGCACCTGGCACCCGGCAGCAGGCTCAGCCTGGAAGGTAGCAGAAAGGCTGTCATTGAAGCCCCTCTGACGGAGGCTACGTGCCTATGGAGGCTGCCTCACTCCCGGGGCAGCAGGCCCTCCTCCCCTGCATCAGAAAAGTCTGTATCAGCCTCTGGTTCTGACGGGAGCTGTAGAGATGCAGATGTGAGATGTCTAGCCCCCAACCTTGGTCTCATGACACAGGGACAGAGTAGGAGTATGGGGTGCGTCTGTGACCACTCCATTTTCTGGCCTCCAGCCTCACCTTAGGTGGGAGCTGTGCTGAGCTAGACATCCTACTCATAGGCAAGCTAGGCTATCATTTTATTCCAACCTTAAGAGCTGTCTCAGTCATAGACACTGCAGTTACCCTCCCTGAGTGTGGGTGGGTGTCCTGGGGCGGGGCACACAGAAGTCTGGAGTGAACACCTTGCTTTGGGACAGGTGGTATTTTCCTCCTTGATCCTCTTATCAGGGTAATTTCTGCTTCAAGACAGAAGTTGGTGAATGCACAGGTGCTGAGGCCGAAGGGGAAGTTTGGATTTTTAAAGCAAATATGAGTCATGGTCAAATGACACAGACAAAGTAACTTTTTTATTTTGTGCTTGCGAGCACCTGGGAACTTTCTGCTTTAAAGGGGGGGCCTTTGTCCATCAATGACTTCTTGAACACTTGGGGTGAATGAGTTGGGGAACCAGGAAAGGTCCTGTCTGGGTGGCGGGGCCAGGTGGGCCATGCAACCAAACTGGGTACCTTTAAGATGAAGGTGTGGGGTGAACACTGCCAGCAGCGTGAGAAGATGTCTCTAGAGCAGGTGGGCTCCTGGGCAGGATCCGAGCAGCATTCGGGTGGGCAGGAGCCTGGGTTGAGCTATGTCCTCCTGTCTCCTAGGAGTATGCCCAAGCGAGGTTCGATGCCTATTTCCACCAGAAGAGGAAGCTGGGGGTGTGACCACGGGAGGACTTCCTATCCTCCGTCCCTGGACTGCGTGGGGCGGCCGAGCCATGGAGCCCTCCGCTCCGACTGCTGTTCCTGCGGCAAGAAGCTGGGATGGCTCGCTGCCGCTCACAGATGTGTATGATACAAAAGACTGTATTAAAATTGAGTAACATTTATTTCATATCTTGTTTACGATTTCACTAGGCCTCTGACAAGCTCGGGCAGCAGAAACACAGTTCAGTAGTGCAATAGTGCGATAGCTCAGATTCCTCTAGTCCAGAGAGGCCCCGCCTGCGCAGACATGCAGCCAGCAGCATGCCACCACGGGCGCTTCTGGTTACTGTTGACTCTTTACAGGACTTTACCCTGCTGGTGAGCACTGTACCGCTCTCTGTAGGTAACGTGTGTAGACACTGCTCACTCCTGGGGTGACGAGGGGCAGGCAGACTGTGACGCTGCTCGTGGCCTGCCAGGAGTCTCCAGAAGCTGTTCCTTCACCCTCTGGTCCACACGGCTGAAGCTCAAGGAAGCAGAATGCACACGGCAGGCGCCAGTGCTGTCTCCACGCGATGAATGTAGCTCCCGGTACCTGTCGTGTATCCAGTTGTACGGACAGATCTCTCCCTAAGCGGGTGGAGCCTCGGCCTCGCCCTCCTCACTGAATGTTGCTTTATTAACTCTGCCTCGAAGGGCCACGGCGGGCAAGGGCAGCGTGGGGATGTGCAGGGCCCTGCCTCCCAGCTGCCTCCCGCAGGGACCAGGGCTTGTCCCCTCCCTGCTGCCTCTTCTCCTCCACGACTGCAGCCTGGAGCTGACCGTTCTGTGACAGGGCTGTCTGCCCCAGGGCCCCTCAGGAGCAGAAACCCTGGCTGGGGCTCTCGGTGGCCAACCCTCACTGCTCTGACGCCCCAGTGTCCTTCTGGTGGGACCAGCAGCCTGTGTGTGACATGTGGGGCGTGGGTAGACTATAGCTGTGAAATTTGTATATGTTAAATATCCTTTGGGATACATTTTTTAAACCTGAACTCTTATTGAATTATTTCTGTGCATACAGTTCTGCTACCACAGAGATTGTACTATACAAACAATAAAAAAATAAAACCCCATCTTCAGCTGTCACCTTTGAGTCATGCGACGGCGGCCCAGTACGTGCACTGGCGTCTGCTCCTGGCGTGCTGAGGCCCATCATCCAGGAACGCAGTGCCATCCTGGAGACCACCCTCACTCACATCCTCCCTGGCTCATCCCCTTATTCAACACATGCGTCTTTTCCTGAAATTGACGTCTTCACTGGGGTGTCTCCTGCTTGAGACTGAGCAGGGATCAGGCCTGTCCCTGTGTCTCCTTATGACCTCCTTGCCCCAGGAGTGCCCAGTGCAGTCCTTCACATATGCTGGTCCATGGCAACCAGCGAGCATCTCCCTAGGCCACACCTGCCTCCTCACAAAATACCACACACTAGCTCAGGGTCCCTCTCAGCACCCCCACCCTGCAGGTCTGCCCAGCTCTGCTCCCCAGGGAGGTGTAAGGCTTGGGGCCTGAGCTTACTCACAGCCCGAGTCCCCCACACACCAGCTTCCTCTGTTCCTCACCAGACATGGCCATCATCATTTCTCAGCCACATCTGCGAGGTACATGGGATTGCCACACAGCCCTGAGGGACAGTCCTGGACCCAAGGGACAGGCTCCTGGCAGCTGGCCAGATAAGAGGCACAGCGATGGGGCCAGGCCCCCGGGCTCGCTACACCCGGGCATCTAGCCTCAAAGCGGCCTTTGTTCCAGGCCGTCCAGCTGGAGAGAGGCCTCTGAGCACTGGCTTGGCCTCCCAGTGGTGGGATCCAGGCCAGGAAGCTACAGGGGCCCTCGCCCCACCCGCTAAAGGACAGCCTCCAGGGAGCAGGTCTGGCTGCCGAGGAAGCTAGGCAAGGCCAAAGCTCCCGGGATGGGGAGACAGGGCTTAGAGTCTGGCTGCGCCCCCTTACGCTTGGCGCTGTCCTGGCCAGCCTCTGCCCTTCCCTGCAGGATGGCGGCCTCTGGCGTACGACACCCCTGCTCGCCCCGTATGGAGTGCCCGGGTCCAATCCCAGCACGAGGGATGGGAACATTGGCCATTTCATGCCAGGCACCCTCCACACCCAACATTCTCTCTCAGCCGGTTTGCACACCCTCAGGATGGGAAGCTCACTCCCCTGGCCCAGCGTGGGAAGACGCTCATTCTGAGCTGGAATGTTCAGGGAACATCGCTCCTTGGTCCTCCCGAGTCGGCTTATTACAATGGGTGCATGGGCCCTCTCCCCAACTTCTCAAGGCCCTTGGTCACGGGCCGGTGCCTCCCACCACCTCAGCTGCAAAGGAGGATGTAAGAGACGGGCGTAGAGGCTGCCATGGGGTCCATGATACCAAGAGGCTCATGGCAGGACCAGCCCACGCCCACAGCCCAGAGTCCTGCCGTTCTGGCGCGGCCTAGGCTCTGCCACACCAGCCTCCCCAGCCCTGCTTTGCAGACGGGACCCAGACACAGTCCTGAGACTTCCTCCTCTTTATTCCTTTCCTGCTTCACTCAGCAAGCTGGGGGTGGGGGTGGGGGGGCGCTGGCATGGCCACAGGTGGGCGCTATTGGTCCTCCATGGAGAAGGTGAAGGGGTTCAGCTTATAGCCAGTGCCCGAGTAGAACTTGTTCTGGAACTCCACCCTGGAGTGAGAAGGGAGAGCTGGTGAAGGGAAGGCCTTGCCCTCCCCTGCGCCGCCCAGCAGTCGGGTGGGCCGCTCACCAGTGCAGCCTCAGGGCGTGCAGGAAGGCGGAGAGCCCCTCCATCACTAGCAGGATGGCCACGGTCAGCACAGCGAAGGCGGCAAAGACAGGGACCAGCACCAGGGCCACCACACCCATCTCTCGTCCCATGCCCAGGCCTATGCGCATCACCATGGCCCACAGGACCTCTGACAGCTCTGTGGGTGAAGAGGGGGCAGTGGAGACCGGGGCCAGGGGTGCCCACCCCACGTCCTCGGCAGCCTGAAGCCCACTTTACAGAGGGGACCCTGAGGCCCAGAGAAGTGACCCGCCCAGGCCACCCAGCCAGCCGCTGTGTGTGCGAGCTGGAGCCAGGACTTAACCGTGGCCGGGCCACCCACCACGCTGGTCACTCACGGGCATGGGCCAGGCTCAGGGCCCAGAGGCGCAGGTAGGAGGCCGTGTTGGAGATGCAGCCCAGGCAGAACTCGATGGTGTGGATGGCCTGGTGCATGAACACCTCAGAGAGCACAAACTGAGGGGGCGGGAGGGGGGACAGTAAGCGGCGGGCCAGGCCAGCGGTTTCCCCCCACTCAGGAAGGCACCACACCCACCTTGGCTTCCTCTTGGTCCCCTGGGTGCTCCGCCTTCTCCTCATCAGAGCCCCTAGCGTCCGGTGAGTCCAGAAGCCCAGTCTTGACCTCATCCTTGGGACGGGGTGTAGGCAGCGTCAGCGGACCCACCTAGACAGGCCCACGCTGCCCCTACTGCCTCACACAGCCACTCAGAGGAGCAAGGTGGGTCTCGGGCTGGCAGCGGCCCCACCTCCCTACAGCACCCCCCTACCTGCAGTTGGCCAGCACGCCTCAAGCGACGGTGGTGATTCCAGCGAAGGAACAAGGGTGTGCCAAGCAGCAGGACGGGCACTGTGGCCAGGGCCAGGACCACCAATGCAGACTGCACTACCTCCTACAGGGGAGGGGGCCGAGTCAGGCTGCCCCTGCAAGCCACACACCCAGGGAGCCTACAGTCTGCTCCTCCCCGGGGTCCCCTCCCTAAGCAGGGACATCACTGCGTAAGGAATCCTCGGCGAGAAGGGGACAGGCTTCCGGGACCCACTGTGTGCCACCTCGCTGGGAGCCTCACACTGTCCCTGGACCTCTGCATCTCACAGCTCGGGCCAGCATCCCTGTTTCTCAGATGAGGACTGGACCACCCTGAGTGGCCTAGTGACCGGGGGCCACTGAGGGGTGTGAGCCCACTCGCCGCCCCAGCCCACCTGCCCGGGGAAGAGTGGCCGGTTGGTGGGGCTGCGAGAGAAGAGGAACATGTTGATGAAGTGGATGAGGATGCTGGGGGCGGAGGAGGCGCCAGCGGCCGAGACGCGCAGCCACTTGTAGACGACCATGAACACCAGGTAGCCGAACAGGCCCAGCAGGAAGACCAGCTCCGGCAGGGTCTCCAGCACCAGCCGGTGCCACTGGCCAAAGTGTCTGGGGTGGGACAAGGGCCAAGTCACCGGACCACCCTGGCCCCGCAGTCCCCACTTCCCCCACTAGAGCCTCGGCCTCACATGTGGTTGAAGACGCCTAGGACCACCCCGAAGGCCATGTGGGTGACCCCCAGGATGACGGACATCTTCATCTTGAAGGAGTTGAGGAAGGTCAGGTGGTTGACAGCCAGGCTCCAGATCTGGGGTGGCAGGAGGGACAGGTGTCATCTCACCAGCCTGTTTGTCCCCTTTAGGGCCTCAGCACAATCTGTCACCTGCCCCCCAAGAGGCAGCAGGGCGCACTGGTTAAGGCACAGACACGGCCAGACAGCCTGGGCCAACCCCAGCTCTTCCTAACTGGGTGACCTTGGGTCCTCTCCGGGGCCGCAGCTGCCTCCTCTGTAAAGTGGGAAGGACGCTAAGGGACGCCTCGTGGAGTTGTCACAGAAATGAAACACAGTCATTGCACATACAGGGCTCAGAGCAACGCCCGGCACAGAGGCGGCTCCACAGTGACCCAGGGCCGCCACCACTCTGACAGCCCCTCTGCTTTGTGGCTGCAGGAAGCGCCCGGCACGGAGGCCCCTCATCTGTGTGGGGCCCCGAGCATCCGGCACCAGAACTGGGCTGCCCTCCTGCTGGCCTGCAGCCAGGACTCACGGGGTCGATGCCGAAGGGGTAGGGTCCCAGGAAGACGCCGGTGATGTTGGGGTCCAGAGAGAGCAGGGGGTGGTTGGCCAGGAACTTGTCACTGTGGCAACAGCAGGCAGGGTGGTCAAGGCGGTGGGGACGGGGCAGGGCGGCGAAAACCCGGGGACAGTGGGGACGACGGTGGGCCTCACCTCCAGCCGGACTGGTTGGCCATGGCGGCCACGCTCCAGCCCGAGGGGAAGATGACGGTGGCGCGGCTAAAGCACTCGTTGTAGATGAAGCCGGTGTAGACAGAGAACAGGCCCATGAGCAGGAGCAGGTAGCGGCCACCAAAGAAGGTCTGCCAGATCTGGGGGGGCGGGGGAGGGCTGTGAGACAAGGCCCGGGCCCCCTCCCCCCGCCAGCCTCTCCCCCCACTCCCGCTACCCTTACTTACCTCATTCTTTGCTGTCTTGATGGCCGGCCGGTCCTCAGCCAGCACCATGGCCAGGGCGAAGAGGAACATGAGCAGCCCGTGGCCCACGTCCCCAAACATGACGGCGAAGAGGAAGGGGAAGGTGATGATGGTGTAGGGCGCTGCGGGAGAGGAGCCGTGCGCTCAGCGGACCCCACAGCCGAATGTGCATCTTGTACAAGATGCCATGGAGGCCTGGACCCAGGCTCTGGGACAGCAGCTGATTCAAACTTCTTCCTCAACACAGCGCGGCCAAACAGGACACACCTGCAGGCTCGCTGTGGCCCCTGGCCTGCTGGTTCGCAGCCCCTGAGGACTGCACACCTTCCCAAAGCCGCTCTGATTCCCATTTTACAGGTGAGACAACTGAGGCTCAGAGAAGCTAGGACACTTACTGAGGTGAGCGACTCAGACCCCAAACCCAGGCCACTCCTGCTGCAGGGCCTCGGCTCCATGCCCAACCCCCCACCCCATGCTGGTTCCTTTGTAAGCTTCACCAGGACATGCTGGGATAAACACCCCCCCCACACACCACCGTGCCCGTGTGACGGGGCATCACAGGGGGTGTGCCCCTCCCATCTGCAGAGGGTGGGACAGGCCCAATGTGTACGCCACCCTCCCAGACTTCCACCAAAGCTGTGGGGTGCCGTGGCTCTCACCGGGGTTGACCTCCTGGTAGCGGCCCACACCGTAGGCGTCCACGATGGCCTGGAAGCTGGCCGTGAAGCGAGTGGTACGGATGAGTGTGGGGGGCATGTCCCGGCAGGGGATTCGGTGAACCACGGCACTCACACCTGCCTCGCTCTGGGCACCCGGCAGGCAGACAGGCAGGCAAGCAGACAGACAGACAGATGAGACTGGGCCTTCAGGGACCCTTGACCCCCCACCCCCACCCGCCAGCCAGGCCCTGATGGAGACATGGAGCACCGAGGGTGCTGGCCGGGCAAGTGCTGCGGATCCTGGGGCAGCCCCTCCCTTCTTTGTGCAGGAGGCTGACCAGCCCCACCAGCCCCCATCCAGGACGGAGAGAGAGCCAGACACCAGCTGGGCCAGAGTTGTTTGGAAAACTGAAACCTGCTGTTGCTCATCTAGGTGGCCCGGGAGAGGGAGCCCCATTGCCACCTGTGAGCACTGACTAGGTAAGGGCAACCTGTGGTGTGTTCACTCTACAGCGACCCCTGGAGGCAGGGTCATTGCCACCTCCGGTCTGTGAGAGGTCACAGGGCCTGTGAGCCTGGATTTGAACCTGGTTTCTGATTGAACGCCCACCCCAGCCCAGCCGACAAGGTGCCATGGCCCGGCCCAGGGGCTCTGGGACGTCAGGGCGGTTGGGCCAGGGCCATCCAGGTGGACTCCTCGGGGAGGGGGAGCCCTGGCAAAGGCATAGCCTGGGAAGGGGAAGTGTGTTGTGAGGCAGACACAGAGACCCCGCCAGGCTCACCGAGCTGTCATGCAGTGCCTGCTGCACCGCGGGCAGGTCGCGCGTGGCACACCAGGCCTCGGCGATGAGGCACTTGTAGGTGGCGCTCACGCTGCACTGGTTGAGGGCCAGGTACACAGCCTTCATCTTGCGGATCTGCACCTGCCAGGGCGGCAGCAGCCGCTGCACCCGGCCCAGCACCTGGTTCAGGAAGCGCTCTGTCTCCCCCAGGACCTGAGGCCAGAACGGGCAATGAGGAGGAGCAGGGCAGGCCCCTGGGGGGTTGGCAGGGAGCAGGGGGGGCGGGGGG